ATAAAATTAGTGCGCATTCTGATAAGCATGCATTGATGATAAACCTTTGATTCCTGATCACAATACTATATTTATACCTGTTTTTTTCACTAGGTGTCTGATCATCACAACACTATCTTTGATGTGCCAGTGGGGATCTTATTTGAGGACACTGATCTTCAGCCTCCCAACTCTTTGCATTTGACTTCTTCGATTGGAATAATTCTTGAAAGCCAAGTGGTGATGGATAAAATGCAGGACCTCCCACAGGCAATCTGTCTTCTCTTCGGTCTGATTTACGCACTAGACCTGAATTACCCAAAATCGCTCGCCAACACGTTTGATTTCATCCAGCGTGTACTAATGTCAATGGGACAGAATGCTCTCAAGCCTAGAGTGCAGTCTCTGGCAAACCAGCTTTTTGCTTAAGAAACGTCACTGTGATACTTTAACACCACCCTTTGTTTTGGGTTTTTCTCCCTCGATTTACTCCATTTATTTATGAAGAATAAAAAGTATGTTTAAACTGTTAAATGCACAGAGTTCTACAATTGAGGTGCAGTAGTTAATTTGGGATATTTTTTTACCATTGTTACACCTCTGGTTGTGACCCAGTAATATTTCCATTACAGTATAGTTTGTACTGTAATATTGTGACATTTGGGCCAAAGACACTGAACAGAATACATACTGAACAAAGCTTTAATTGTGAAATGTAGTAAGAATTTAGTTCTTATGTTTAGCCTACATGTTCAGTACATTAACAATTGTGAGGTGTAAAAAGTGTAATTAAGTGCACAGAGTTGTACAATTGATGTAAGTGCACTAGTGTTGAACATTTTTACTGTTGTTACCACCTTTACAGTGTGGTTGTGACCCAGTAATATTTTCACTACAGTATAGTTTGTATTGTAATACTGTAAAAACTGTTTAGGTGAAACTTTGGTGAAAGACACTATATGTTGAGTATGTTTTATTTTAGTTCGCTATGTTTGCACAAAGCGTAAACGGTTAAATGTAATAGTTATATTTACATTAACATAACTGTGATACTTGAGTGAAGTATATATGTGCATAGAGTTGTACAATTGATGTACTGCACTAGTTAATTTTGTTACCACCTTTACAGTGTGGCTGTGACCCATTTCCATTACAGTATAGTGTTTACTGTATTTTCATTAATATTGTGACATTTTGTCAATAAAAAGTCAAAGATTAAATATGCTGTTCATTGTTTTATTTCAGTTTGGTGTGCACAAAGCTTGCAGTCAAAAATAAGAACATCATTCAACAGTTTCAGTTACATTTCCATGTTGAGTTAACTTAAATATATAAGTACAGTTGAGCTGAATGAGACGCAGATTCACTCTCTGCCAGCAGGTGCCGCTTAAACCGTTTCCTTGGTTTCCGCTGTAAACAAAGGTGCGCTGCACTTATGAACTTTAATATGCATTATACAGAGGCAAGATGAATAGAAAAAATACCATCTAAACTTTTCTAAAGACAGTAAGTTCCCCTCAGACATGCATTCATATAAACTCCTACCCCTAAATGAATCACGATTTGTTTTGCATCTCAACCGATTTGAATCGTCACATATTTGAATCGATTTTCAACCGGCTCACGGTTAATCGTTACATCCCTAGATATAAGTATAGTCTACAAAACCGCCAAGTTTAATATACTTAAATATGCAAGTTTTGGGAAACTCCATTACTCAATTAAATTGAGGCAACGAGTTTACTCAATTTAGTTAACTTATTAGGGTTTTCAGTGTGTGACGCCGCTGCTCAGTTGTGATGTCATTGGCTGTGAATTTCCCTTATCACCCGCAGGACTGTCTGTGGTTGGACTATCTTTTAACCCATATTAAACAGCGCATCATGTTACAAAAGTATGTTTTGGTGATGTTATCACATTAGTAATATATTAAGTTAACAATAAAGTGTTGCTATGTTGAGAGAAATTACTCCTTTACCGAGATCCTAACCCTAACACTAAGCATAACTTCATTGAACTACAAATATTTTTCCCGTTCCATTGACAGAATGACAGAGGCTTATGGGTAATGTAGTTTAAAATTGTTATTAATGAAATTATATCTAAATATGTTCATTGTGCAAACCTCTATGACATATTTGAGATGCAGGCTGAAATTTGGTATTTTACAGTGAGCAATATTTAAAGGGCAGTAAAACCTACATATACGTATTCTCTTCATCATGGACAACAAACTGAGTTGTCACATTTATATCTGACAGTTTTCACAGACCTTTTTCTATTCTTACATCCATGCCCCATTAGCTTTTCACAGGACATTGTGAAGTCATCTGACGAAATATAGAAAAATTTGAAAGAAATGCATTAATAATAATAATAATAATAATAAATATAGCTGCAAGCAGCAATTGCGGGGCCAAGCACTCCAGAGGCAAAATGAGGAGCTAAGCATGGCATGGAGCATCAGACCAAATGCAACAATGAGTAATAAAAGCAATTTTAGGATGATTGTAATTGAAATGGCTGAAAAATCATAAATACAACCACTAGTAATATGATTAAAATGATTATCACTTTTGAGCAACAGGTGGCGCTGTAATCAAATCATTTTGGTGTGTTCTGTGTGAGGTGACAATGGCACACACAAAGTTTGTTGTCATTAAGGCTATATCTATGCAAAGCTTTGACATAGAGTCATTTTGGCACCATGCCTAAAATTTGTAGTGGCACTGTACAAAAACGATTTCGTTTATCTAGACGAAATCAATAACTCTTTGTCAGCACAGTCTGAAGATCATCTGACTCGATTTTGGTGAAAAACTGACCAACGAGTGGCGAGGAGTTAAAAAAAGTAGGTTCTCAACATAAATCAAAATAGCGGACAGGAAGTTCAGCTTACTCTGGCATATTTGGTATCTATGTAGGAGGAGTTCGAAAAAGTAGGTTTTCAACATGAATCAAAATGGCGGACCAGTTTTATTACAATAGGCTAGTGTAAACAAAAGTTATTAGCATTTTTAGAAATTTCATTATAATTTTTTATAAGCCAAACTTTTTGAGTACCATCAGGGCATGGCGCCGAAGAAGCATACCAAGTTTCGTAACGATACGTCAGTGCGTTATATATAGTATTTTTTGACAAAATTCAAAATCGCCGACGCCCAAAATGGCTGACATGGAAATATTTGGTATGGTTGGACTCGGCATGATGCACCGAATCTAAAGATACCTGTTTTGTGATTTTTGGCCAAACCATTCAGAAGTTATAAGCAAAAATATGCATTTTTCATATCTCCTGACCACTAGGGGGCACTGCGCCGAAACACTGCAGGTAGTCTCAGGTCACGTTTATTATAACACACAGCACGTTTGGTCTCAATACGCCAAACCGTTGCGGCGATATAGCCTCACATCCATTTTTATGTGCTTTTCGTAGAATTCCTTCGTGCGTTATTCAAGAAGGGTGGGACGAATCAACTTGGATTCCGTAACTTTTTGCCAGCATGGTCTGAAGATGATCTGAGCCAATTTTGGTGAGAATCAGACAAACCGTCTAGGACGAGTTCGAAAAAGTAGGTTTTACGAACAATTAAAAATAGCGAAAAAACTAAACCTTGCGATTTTTTAATTTTGGT